CCTACCGTGAAGGCCTGGCCCCGCTTGAAGGGCATGCCCCCCCCCCCTCTCCTCGGAGCCCCACTGGTCCCACTGCTTGGTGTTTCGCACCACGCAGTTCTCGTTGAAGCGAGGGTTGTAGTGCAGGGCGATCCCGGACTGGAAGCAGAGGTTCACGTTGAACCTGGGAGGGAGGGGAAACACGGATGAGTCTTTTGACCCTTTAGCTTCCTGCTCAGCTCAATTTCCGATGGTCACACGTTCAGAGGATAAAGCAGACATTAAACATTAAATTAAGCAATTAGTGATGATAAATTGTAATATTGTGTCTACTCTGTAGGTCGCTTTGGATAAAAGTGTCTGCCAAATGCATAAACATAAACATAAGCATGGATTAAGACCTTTATTTTGAAAAATTCCCACTTTTAGCATAAAGTATTTGTAAAAAAAAATAACCCAAAAAGGAGGAAGCACAATTGTGGTTCCTCCTAGTTTTCTAAGTCTTCATGTTAAAGGTTCAAAGCTGCTCGGAAAAACAGTTTTTAAAACAAAATGAATCTTTTAATGAATTTCCGGAGGCGTTTAGAAGCAGGAAACAATCGAAATAGTTCAGATTCAGTTGGACAGTCAAACTTCACACTGACAGAGCCGGCAGCACTTTGTCTTTTGATCTGTTTGCAAATAATATGAATTATAATAACCATTATTAATTAATTTACAAACCAACAAAGCCCTCAAATGATCAAACAGATTATCAGAATTTTCCATTTTACACAGCTGAATCTGTTTCTTTGTGCTTATTCTTGGATGTTTTTCAGTTTAATTACAATATATTGCTCATTTATTACGTTTCCTGCATGCACAGTGCTCAGTTTTACACATTTAAATGATGTGTCCCACCTGGTGGCGTTGGGGAACGCGGTTCCCTGGATGGTGATGATCCGACCGGGACGCAGCCCACCGCTGATTACATTCCTGTACGGGATAGTCTGAGCAGGTATGGGGCAGAAAAACCGGTCACACAGGCAAGACTGATTAAAAAAACGCTGTTTCTAGTAGAATTTACGGGAATATTGTAAGTATTAGCTTGTTTTCTCATCTCATTGAAGATTTAAAGTGCCTGAATTGACACTGTGCTGACGGTTTTTGACTAAATTTACAATCCTTTGTCAGTAAAAGCCAAAAATAAAAGCCAAAAATAATGCTAACAACTCTCCCCCTCCCCCTGAGTTTGTGTTATTTCCTGTGGTTAGATGAACTTTAAAGGCAAACAGAGCACTGGGATGGGAAACTGGTTTGCTTACAGGCATCTGAGGGACTGGGAAGGCAGCCTGGGGGG